TTCATTGAGCTGTTTATAAAATTGGCTGTTTTGCAGGGTAACCAGTCCTTGCCTGCCATGCTGGCCCACTATGTTGCAGTTCAGGGTAATTTGTGCCTTTGGGTCCTCCAGTGCAATGGCATGCTCTAATCACTGCATTGCTTCCAGTCGAGGCTGGTTTCACTCGTGGCTTTTAGTCCCCTCTGCAGGCTGGATTCAAACCCCAAGCCTGTGGTGGAGGGGTGTAAGGGTGAACCATGAAAAGGGTATTGTGCTACAGGGCTCTGCCACCTGGTGGCAATGTGTGAATGACCGTTCCAAAAAGCACCTTGGCTAACCTTGGTCACACACTAGCAAGCACAGGGTTTGTCAGACCTCTTCAATGAGAAACCTTTAGATGTTAGTACTATACTGTGCTGATAGACGTCGCCCTGGTCCGCTGAGCTATAACCAGGCCTCCAATTAATCCTAACATCGTAGATTTGAGCCTGCACTAGTTAACAATGAGGGATGCACATCTCTGTTCAGGTGTGGGAGCTGCACGTCCCTGAGAATGGAGCAGGTAGCTTTCTGCTGGAGTGCCTCGGGCTGATTTCTGTTTAGAAAGAGCACCGAAAGCAGACTGGGGGGAAAATATCAAATGGGAAAGTTTCCCCTCTCGTGGGGAAGCTCCTATGCAAGCCACGATTTGGACCCTTTTCCCACTGGGGATTGCTAGCGACCCCCAGGGAGCCCCTTGTCATTCTGGAGCTGCCCTGTGCTGCGCAGCAGAGATCTTGAGACAGGCCTGGTTATTGTCCTGTGATGCCCGATGAATTCTAAAAGAGAAACGGTTGCCTCAGAGAGTCGAGCTGTTGGCCTGGCAGCTCGCTGTCTCCGACTTCGTAATTATCAGGGTCGTGGGGATGGGTGGGTGGAGAGACGGTTGAATTTTCATGCTCAGATGAGCTAACACTGACCAGCTAAACTGGCTGGAGTCTTTCCTTGCTTATTGAGGTGTATGAATCACCGGTCTTTTGGATTTCCTTCACTTGCTTTCTCCCTTTCCTGCCTATTCCCTGTGTCCACCCCTCTCTGCTGTCTACCTTCAGCCAGGCCAGGTGGAGGGAGGAGTCATAGAATCCCTACGGTGTGGGAACATGCCCTTCAGCCCAACAAGTCCACACCAACCCTCAGAGCATCCCACCCAGACCCATCCCCTTATAACCCACCTAATCTCTACATCCCTGAACACTATGGGCAATTTTCCATGGCCAATTCACCTCGCCTGCACATCTTTGGACTGTGGGAGGAAACCGGAGAACATAGCTATGTGTTTCAAATTACCTTGTGTGCAGGAAACCACGTGCCAGGGACGTGTGATTAGTTTCTGACAGGCCGCGGGTAACCAAGACTCAGGAGTGCAGACCAAGTGAACACGTCTGAAAGGTTTGTCATAAAGCAGACAGTCTGTGACTTGAACAGTGCAATGGGAAGGTACACAGATGGTTTTATCCAGACTATTTCACACGAAGGGCCAGATCCTGGCTTGTCGAAGCAGTGTAACACGAATGATTGGGAAGGGGGGGAGAGTTCCTATTTGGTGAATGAACTATTTGGGGATAATAAGGGAGCAGGCAGGAATATCTGAACCAGCTTCGCTGTTGGCCACATGGATACCTACTGAGCAGCTGGAAGGCCACATGTAAAATATTCAGTCCTGTTCCCACTGATGTTTGACTTTCCTCAAGCTGCTCGTTGCCAACTGGTCTTCAATTTGATGGTGCGACAGCATTGCGCCAAACAGCCCTTTGCAATCCAAGCAACCCTCAGTGGGAAAGACAGTCCCAACTTTTAATGGAAAAGTGGCGTAAGCATAAGAAGTAAAGGAAATCATAGAATCCCTAAAGTGTGGGAGCAGGCTATTTGGCCCATCAAGTCCACACTGACCCTCTGAAGAGTATCCCACCCAGGACTACTCCCTACCCTATCCCTGTAACCCAGCATCTCCCATGGCTAATCCACCTAAACTGCATATCTTTGGGCTGTGGGAGGAAACCAGAGCACCCAGAGGAAACCCACACAGACACGGGGAGAATGTGTAAACTCCACACAGACAGTTACCCGAGGCTAGAGTCGAACCCAGATCCCTGGTGCTGTGAGACTGCAGTGCTAACCATTGCACTGCCATGCCACCCAAAAGGTGCAGAGCTTTGGGAAAAGAACAGGGAAATGGGAATTTGTTCCAAATTGCTCCTGTTGAGTTCCAGCAGGTACAGGATGGGCCAAATGGCTTCCTGTGATCAACATTACTGCTGGTTTTTGTTTTCTCTTGTGCAGACCTCAAATGTCCATGTGTGGCAGCAACTTCTGGAACCTGAGGTCAACCTGAGGTTGAGAATGCAAACCCGAGGGGTGTCCCCCCGGCTTAGAGAGAACATTGCGTGTAATACATCCCTTATACCCTCTCTCATTCTGTAGCTGATTCAGTGCACTTCTTACTGAGTCTGTGAGCATGTGTTGGGAAGGATTTTATTAAGCTGGAGAAGGTTCAGAAGAGATTTACCAGGATGTTGGTCGGTGTGGAAGGTTTGAGTTATAAAGAATGGCTGGATAGGCCGGGACTTTTTTCGCTGGAGCATAGGAGGTCGAGAGATGACTTTATAGAGGTTTGTAAAATCATGAGGGGTATAGGTAAGGTTAAGGGTAGGTGTCTTTTCCCTAGGGTGGGGGATTTCAAGACTAGGGGACATACTTTTAAGGCGAGAGGAGAGAGATTTAAAAAAGACATGAGGGGCAAACCTTATATACAGAGGGTGGTTCGCGTGTGCAGTGAACTTCCTGAGAAAGTGGTGGATGTGGGTACAATTACAACGTTTAAAAGACATTTGGATAAGTACATGAAGTGGAAAGGTTTGAAAGAATATAGGCCAGGAGCAGGCAGGTGGGACTAGTTTAGTTTGGGATTATGTTCGGCATAAACTGTTTGGACTGAAGGATCTGTTTCCGTGCTTTATGACTCTATCACTTTGTTTGTCCATGTGGATTTTTATAACCGAGGTTGGAGGGGTCAATATTTCCTTTTCTAGTCCCAATCCTCCATTAGTCCCTACAAATTTTACATTTATCCAGTTTGGTGATATGACCAATGCTGTGGGTCTCTGACTGTGTCAGGTTCAGTGTTAAGAAAAAGTCAACCAGGGTATTTATGCACTAACAAAAAACTGCTTTATTACCAAAGCCAGCTTACTCAAACAAAGATACACAGATCATTGTCAGACAGCTTGGATTATGCAATTATGTCTAATGTGCACATGTCTGAGGTGAAACAAAAAAGAAGGAAACCTGTGCTAGTGTTAGCTTTAAAGTATTTTGGTCAAGTATTAGTTAAATTCTTTTCACATGAATTTACACAGATTGCCCAAAATCTGGTTCTGCTTTCAAAGTGATTCTGCACTGACATGGTGTTGATGCTGGTGTGCCTTCCTGGTATAAGTGTAGCTGATTGAAATCCCCCTGGGTCCAGGTGATGGGTTAGCTTCTAACAATCCCTCTCCAGGAATCTTCCCTGAGTGGTAAAGGGGTCCTCTGGTGGGTTTCAGTGCTCTCACTTCGGTGAAAGGCATTGCAGAAGGAGAGAAATGGGCTCCTGCTCTTCAGGCTGGACAAATGCTTACTCTCCCTCAGTTCAGAAATCTGTGCTGTAGCTTTCTGCAGTCTTTCTCCATTTAAATAATATTCAGCTCTTCTGTTCTTCCTGCCAAAGTACATAACCTCACATTTCCCCCACATTGTGCTCCATCTGCCAAATTTCTGCCCAGTCACTTTATATCTGTGTCCCTCTGTAGAGTCTTTGTGTCATCCTCACCACTTGCCTTCCCACTTATTTTTGAGTCATCTGCAGAGTTGGCTATAATATCTTTACTTTCATCATCCAAGTCATTGATATAAATAATTGTAGCCCCAACATTGATCCCTGTGACACTCCACTAATTTCAGTTGCCATCTTGAAAATGACTGATTTATCTCAATTTTCTGCCTCCTATTAGTTACCCCTTCCTCTATTTATGCTCATATACTGCCCCATGGACCATGGGCTCTTATCTTATTAAGCATTCTTATGCGTAGTACTTTTAAATTTCCACACGGTGTTTGATAATCTATATACATTGCATCGACTGGTTTCCCTTTATCTATCCTGTTTGCTATCCTCTCAAAAGAGCTGCTGTACTCAGTGCTTTTGTTTGTAAGTTCAAGATATATTCATACAGCTTTGCATATTAGGGGGAAGGCGATGGCCTAGTGATATTATTGCTGGACTGTTAATTTAGAGACCCAGATAATGTTCTGGGGACCAGGGTTCAAATCCCACCATAGCAGATGGTGGAATTTAAATATCTGGAATTAAGAGTCTAATGATGACCATAAATCCATTGTTAATTGTTGGAAAAACCCATCTGGTTCACTAATGTCCTTGAGGGAAGAAAACTGCCATCCTTACCTGGTCTGGCCTACATGTGACTCCAGACCCACAGCAATGTGGTTGACTCTGAACTGCCCTCTGGGCAATTAGGGATGGGCAATAAATGCTGTCTAGCCAGCGATGCCCTCATCCCGTGAATGAATATTTAAAAAATTTTTGAAAACTAATAATGATGGAAATAATATCATAACAGCTTGTGTGGGGAACTTTATTCCTGCTTTAAACCTATCCCGTTCAATGAAGATGCAGGGGTTTCAGCTCAGTCACTGTCTTGCAATTCTCAAAAACAGGCCCCACTAAAATCACTGCAGCAAAAAAATTGACTGGGTTGCAAATTGACCATCCTCCCTCAATAACCTGGCCTCACACCCATGCCGTTTTTGTCTTCCTTATCCATGTGTTTTTCTTTTCTCTCTGTACTCGCGTACTGAAGACTGGCCGAACAAGCAGCGTGCTTGTAGGTCCCGGTCAGTCGCGTGGCCCTGAGCCTCCCTGTATAACTACCCTTGGTGTTGGTCACAGCACAAACCTGACTGCCCCCTTTTCTCTCCTTCAATAGCCATGAAGACAGACCGTAAACGTTTAAAAGCAGAGAAGGCTGACCTGGTAAACCAAATGCAGCAGCTGTACGCCACGTTAGAGAGCCGGGAGGAGCAACTGCGAGATTTCATTAGAAATTATGAGCAGCACAGAAAGGTAAGAAAAGAAAACAAGAATGTGGGAAGACACACCAGATACAGGGGAAAAAGGCGAGTTTTGTATCCGCCATGTATCTCCATATCCGCCACGTATCTCCACATCCGCCATGTATCTCGATATCCTAATAAAACGTACATTTAACAATAAATCGTGACGGTAAAACCTGAATCTAAATCTTAAAAAATCATAGGGGATTGACCACCCACCATGTATCTCCATATTATCTTACATTCTGTGCAGCTTGCTTTGTTGCGCGTGAGCAGGAATGTTAGTTTGTGGGTGACCTGTTTGTTTCATGGTGTGATGTGTTGTCCATATGTGTTTTTGAGGGAATGTTTGTCATCAGCGAGGTGTTGGTAGGGGGTGTTGGGGGTGCGGACTGTTCCACACTGGGGCCTTTCACCCTCATTGGCCTTGTCTCACATGCAGCCTGGGGTTGAAAATCCTACCTGTCTCCAGTCAGTACGGGCCTAATCCATTTTTGAGGAACCATCTGCTCTGTCCCTACTGAGAATATAGATTCACAACTCAAAACTCTTTTTTCTGTTTTTACCAACTGGCATTTAATGAAACTGAAGTGGCAGGTAAAAATGGAAGCTGTACTGATTCAGAGACACTTTCCTCAGGTTGGGGTTGAGGAAGAGCTGTAAGGAGCTTTACCCTGTATCAGTCCATGCTGTTTTTTTGTTATTGACAAGCTCTGCATACTGATTGGGAGCCTATTGTAGAAAAATGTGCTCTTCCTGATATTAACATCCCTCCACTTTGATGAGAGAGAGCTGTAATTCTGTTTAACAACGTCAACTAGAAAAATAGGCTTTCAAAATAGCCTCATTAGATGGCAGTGAAGACTTTGAAAATCAGAGTTGACCTGAGAATCGATGATTCTCCTCAGTCTGACGTGAATAATGATTTTACCCAAAGAAGCAAGCACTGGTCCAATATCATCAGTCTTGCATGCTGGAACAGAATAACAATACATCTACATCACCACTTCTCCACTTTCTATTTCTCATTCTGTATGTCTCTCTCCCTCTTTCTTTCTGTCTGTCATCCTCTCTCTCTCTTTTCCCCTCCCCCTCTGCTCTCTTTCTCTCTCTTTCTTTTCTCTCTCTGTCTTTTCCCCTCACAGTGAAAATAAATTCAATACTTTTGAGCTGTTTGCAAGTTCTCATGCTCCCTGTCTCTCTCTTTTCCTTCTCTTTCTCGTTCTGTCCATCCAAAATATAAAATCAGCATATTTCGAATGCTGAAAATCGAATACAAACAGAAGATGCAGGAAGTACTCAGCAGCTGCAGAGAGGGAAACAGTTAACATTTCAGGGTGAAGTATTTTTGTTGGAGGATGCCCATTCCCCTCTACTATGTGCCAGGCCCACAGTATCGTAGGGGGCTTCGTTTCCAATCTGTACCAGTAGAAGTTGATGCTCAGAGGAGTTTTAATTATTGCACAATTTATTCTGTAGTTCAGTCCTTCCTCTCTGGTTTCCACCCATCCTTTTCTTAAAAGAAAGACAAAATCCACCGACTCGTTTTCCACTTTTCTGCAGGAGAGCGAAGATGCAGTGAAGGTTTTGGCGAAAGAGAGAGACTCACTCGAGCGAGAGAAGTGGGAGCTGCGCAGACAAGCCAAGGAGGCGACAGATCATGTGACTGCACTCCAGTCGCAGCTGGACCTGAAAGAAAACAGGATTAAGGAACTGGAGGCAGAGTTGGCCATGGTAAGTGGTGGGATGGAGAGTCCCCTGGTGTTATATCAGATGCAGGCTCTTACTAACACAGCCCTTTGAAATTCATGGGGAGCCCTGTGGCCAGGTGGACCAATGGGGGAGGGAGCTGGACCTTCTCCAAAGGCATTATTGAATGTTGCCCATTTCCTAATAATCTCAATGTGGTCGCACTTTGTAACTGGAGTTCCTTCTGGCTCAGAACGGGAGTCTAGACTGGCCTCAGTTAGTAGGTCACTGTCTGTAATTCATGTAACGTTTGGAATTGTGTTACTTTCTCATCCTTTGATATGGATGGCTGAGCAGTCGGTTACAGTCCAGCGTTGGACATGGAGTTAGGGACTCAATATAGCGATGCATTCTCGCCATCTGTATTTGTCTGCATTGTTACTCGTGTGTGTTTTCTTTAGCCTGCTGTGTGTCATTTTGTTATTGGTGTACACAGTGAGTGATGGCACGCACACTGTGTAACTTCAGAGACTCCTCTCCCCTCTCGGTTTGCCCAGCTGGCATTTCGTGTTGTGTCAGTTTCACGAAGAGTGCACAGACAGTTCTTCCCTGCTTTCAAATCTAAAGGCGTGGATTTCTCTGTTGTAAACAGCGTTCTTGCAAGTCCCTTGGGTTTTAACTCAGGTCAGCAAGGATTTTGGTTGAAGGAAACGAAGCTGTGAAAGTCGGTCCATCACATTGACAGCCAATGATACATCGCGCTGTGGGACTTTTGAAAGGGACGGATACCCCACTAGAAAGGAACGAGCTGCCCTTGTTGTTATTCTTCACCTCTGGTGTAGCAGGAGCTCAGGAGCAGGAGAACGGGCTGGAGATTGAAGCTTAAGGGCAGGTTTACTGTTGTTCACAACTCGGGTCCGCTTCCTTCACTGCCCCTAGCTGTTCATTGCTCCCTGCATGCAGCAATCTTCTCATTTTACAAAAAACAGCACACAAAATGGAACTGTTGTAGGTAAGGATGCTTTTTTAGCAGCATAGACTCAATGGGCCAATTCTGTGTCTATGGACAGCAATGCTGCACAGAATGAGGCCATTCAGCCCATTGTACCTGTGTTAGCTCTTAGTTCGAGCTATCCAGCTTGTCCAACTCCATTGCTGTTTCTCCGTACCCTTGAAATCATCACCCTTTTAATCAGCTCCCTTCCGAAAGTCCCCATTTGACAGTGTCTGGGCCCCTGTGCATCTCACTGGAGACAGAAAGAAACAGAGAGGAAAAATAAACTGTGGAGGAGCATGCAACAGCTTGGATCCCAATGGTGCTTTTCACACTGATCTGAAGAACAGGTTTATAAAATGTAGGGTGTGTGGAAACGTGTAAAGTGAGTGTGCAGGGCCCCGATTAGGAATATCTCCAATGCATTTGTGGGAAGTAGGCATCATCAGAAGGCTAACTTTTCTTGTCATCCTTTATGTTGCCTTCCTGAACTACTGCAATCTGTGGGATGTGGGTACATTATGGTGCTGTTCAATAGGGAATTCCAGGGACAGTGAGGAAATAATGATATATTTCCAAGTCAGGATGATGTGGGGCTTGGAGAGGAACTTGCTGGTGGTGTTGTTCCCATTTGCTTGCTTGCCTTGTCCTATTAGACGATCGAGGACAGGGCTCTGGAAGATGCTGTTGAGGAAGTGGCTGTTTGGTAGGAGAGAGAACAATAGATTGATATTTAAATGGTGGCAGATTGGGAAGGGTAGTGTATAAAGGGCCCTGAGGATCCCTTGAACACCAGACAATGAAAGCAAGCGTGCAAGTTCAGGAGACACTTTGGAAGGTAAATGGCTATTTTGGGCTTCATTGCAAGAGGGTTTGAGTACAGGAGCAAGGATATCTTATTGTAGCTGTCCAGGTCTTGGTGAAACCACACCTGGAACACTGCGCACAGTTTGCTCCCCATATCCAGGGAGGGATATACTTGCCATTGCAAGGAGTACAGGTAAAAGTTCCCCAGGCTGACTCCTGAGATGGCAGGTTTGTTGTATCAGGAGGGATTGGACCGACTGGGGACTTGTATTCACTGGAGCTTAGGAAAATGAGACAGAATCTCATTGAAATCCATCACATTTGGGTAAAGTTGGGCCAAAGTTCCCATGTAACCACGCTCAGAGGTTTTGTACTCCCACTCCAACCTGGTTTGTCCACACAGGAGGTAGGGGGCTGGACAGACTGGCCAAGGTGATGCTCCCGCTAGCTGCATGGCTCCAGAACAAGGCAGGGCGGGGAGAGGCAATCTCTGGAGTGAGAGGAGGAGGTTGGTGGGACTGTGGGATCCTCTACCACTCAAGGCCAAGTCACTGAATATGTTTTATGAAAGAAATTGATATCCAGAGGTTTCTGGGGATACAGGGAGGAAACAGTAGTATGGTGATGAGATAGAGGATCAGCCATGATTATGTTGAATGGCGGAGTAGACTCAATGGGCTGAATGGCGTAATCCTCTATCTTCTAGGATGTGTTTGAGCTATTGCAGTGCATCATGGAGATGGTATACACTGGAGCCACTGTGTGCTGTTGGTGGAAGAGGTAAATATTGAAAGTGTTAGGTAGCTCCGACATTGGGCCAGAGTTGTACAGTGTTATGATCTGTGAATGTAACATCACTTGAGGAGCTGTGTCCAAGGTTCTATCAACAGACAGACGATGGGATTGAGGTGTCCAGCTGGCATCAATTGGCATTCTCTTCAGTTCCTTCATTTTGATGTGCGTCAGAGATGGAGAATGTTGGGTGAGGATGTGGTTCCCTATCAAAGGGATTTAGGGTAAACAGCTGCCTCACCTGTTTGTCTTAGGATTGTGGGCCCTGTTTACTAAGGAGCGAATTCCTGGGACACTGAGGCCTGTTTACTAAGGAGAGAATTCCTGGGACACTGGGGCCTGTTTACTAAGAAGTGAATTCCTGGGACACTGGG